AAAAAAAAAAAAGTTTGTTATAGTATATGGTTTGAGATATAGTCCTGTTTCATTTCTCTCCAAATGAATATCGAGTTTTGCCAGGCTCATTTGATAAAAAGACTCTCTTCCCCCAAGATGAATCTTGGCATCTTGTAAGTGGGTAGATTTACTTCTGGGTGCTTAATTCTGCTCCATTGGTCGTTGTGCCTGATGTGCCAGTGTCAGGCTGTTGGACCACTTGACTGTGTAGTCGGTCTTCATATCAGGAAATTCAAGGCTTCCTACCTTGTTCTTCTTTAGTAGTGCTTTGCTAATTCAGAGTCTTTACTTTCAATATAAAGTTCACGAGGTTTTCAATATCAAGAATTCTGTTGGAATTTGGTTTGGGATTATGTTATATATACAGGTCACTTTGAGTACTATTGAGATTTCACAATGTTAATTTAAACCTTCCTATCCATACACATAATATACAAATAAGTCAATATCGTCAATATGCATTTTTAGAGAATGGACTATGCACTAAAGACCCTAGTGTTGTAGGAGATAGAAAGATGAAGTGACCCCAATAAATTGATTTAAATAAATAAATAATTTTTTTTAAAAAGATGAAGTGATTATTCCTAAAATATATGAAGCATGAGAAAAAGATAATATCAATAAAAGTAACTTAATTTTAAAACACCTGATATATAATGGTGTTTGCCAACATCAACACATTTTAGATATAAAAATAATATAAAATTAGCACTAGTATGCATCATATTTGTGGAGATTTTGATATTTTAGCATTAGATTTTTAGAGACCTTGGTATATTTTTATTAGGATTGAAAAATAAAGTAGCCATAAGCTGTAAATTTCTTTAAAGTTAGTTCACTTGGGCTGGGGTGGGAGGAAGCAAGGAAAAAGATAGGAAATCACTCCTTTTTTAGGGGTAATTAAAATGTTCCAAAAGGTGATCATTGTACAACTTTATACTAAAAACCATTAATTTGTTCGATGGGTAGACCATTACGGTCATTAAAATTAGATATTAACAAAGATGGTTTTATACCATGATGTTATTTTTTTTGAAGACTAGCTGTCAAAAATACAAGAATACTGTGTCTTTTCCATCTCTAACTTCAAGTGATTAGTAAAGCAAACTTTTATGCCTATTGGCTTTACTTTGAATGGCTCTAAATAAGCTATTCAACTCATTATATGAATTTTCCCCAAAACTTCTCTTTTTCATCTGAGATAATGAGTTCTTAAAAATACTTGTGTACTCTATTTCTAATGTTTTTTTATATAATCCTTTGTGTTATGTTAGGAAATACAAAAAAACCAGAATTGTGTCTGGCCTATAATTTTATTTTGTTTGAAGAGTTATTCTTGTCATTGTAGAACACATGTCCCTTCTATTCATGGATTATATTAGTAGATTGATTCATGTAGAAATAAAAACATTAAAATGTAATAAATGTGCAACTCTTAACTTCTTAGAAATTATAGAAAAAGTATTTGAAGCAACATTTTTTCTGAACATTATTAAAGCAAGCCCACTCATCCCATGGTTTACATAGCAATCATATAACATTTCCAAGACTAAATCTTTGCAGAAGTAAAGAGCCTCATATTTCTCCCACAGAGTGTCTGGTGGGTTTGAACATCTTCAAGGATAGGGAATCTTTTCTCTGTCAGGGGGTCATGTGGATATTTATAGCATCATTCACCGGACATTTTGGTCAAGCACTGAATTCCGTCACCCCAATGTGACGGCTGAAACTGCTTCTCTTTGGTGAGGCCTGTGATGCCACCAGGTTTGGCTGATTGCTCAGGCCTTCTGCAACCCTCAGGCCAGATGATCCCTACCCCTGTCTACATTACTAGTAGGGTTGTTGGTTTGTTCCTGTTTGATTTTGGGTTTTAATTATTTTATAACTGATTTTTCCCCTTTTTACCCCCTTCAATCAATTTTAATACTTAATTGGGCCCTGTCACATTTAGTGTGATCTTAAATACTAAAGACTACATTCACTACAGTAAGATATGGCATAGAGCTCATCATAGGGAGTGATTTTCTTCAATATGGGTCTTTGCCTTTATTGTCGACTTTCCCCAGGTTCCATAAGTCTTTTCCATCTCCACTTCCAATAGAAAATCTATCCAATTTGTATTATATCTAAAATGCATTGAATTTCCTGAGATAGTAAACCCTGATGCATTTCAAACAGCAAGTTTATTACTATTCATAATATTTCAACTAATTGTCTAATTTGTTTGTTATTGAAAAGTCGTATAAAGGTGGGGGGGGCTACAAATTGCTGTCTGTGGTCTTTCTAAGCAACTATAATGTAACTCTATTTTTGTAGCAAGCTAGAACCATTACTGTAGTAATCAATATATCACCGTTGTGTTATTATGGAAATTTTAATGTTGCTTTGAACATTCTGAGTAGTTTAGTGGGGGGTATTGGTCTTCTACTATTGATATCTGAAAATGACACTTGGCTATATATTTTTTGTTATTATTTTAACACTATTAGGAAATGGTCATTCTGGACGCAGCACAGAAACACATTTTAAATATCTTAGAGAGCATTTGACTTCTGTGATCATTAATGTGCTCCTTTCATTGCCCTAGTGTCCACTTGGCAAGAAGAGTGCTTCAGTTAGAAAAACAGAACTCACTCGTCTTAAGAGACCTGGAACATCAAAAGAACCAAGGAGCACAGCTTTCACAACAGGTGAGTACCTTCAACAAAGGAAGCACATAAAGAATCGCAGTGTTCACTATAATTCTTTATAGCTCCTTTGTTTTCTGAGCAGTTTAAAAATAAGCTGTTTGCTAATGTAAAATGATGTCACAATTTATGAACCTAAATTAATGTGAGACCCCTATAAAACAACTTTTAGTGTATGGAAAAACTAAGATCAAAAGAGAGATTAATTTGCCCAGACTAAATATAAATGCAGGCTAGACAGACACAGCTTTGATTTCTGAGAATATCAACCGGCAAAACAAGTTTGGCAATTTTTTAATTATGTTTTAAGTTTTTTAACTAATACCTATTTTTAAAATAGATTTGTTCTTTGACATCTGCGTTTGATGAAAACTAATTATCTATGAAACACCTTCTACTTGGTACAAGGTCACTGTGAGTCTTCATCAACATTGAGTTTGGTTTTGAGGGGTGTACTTGGTATACCCTTAGCCTCTCACATTTGTTGGTATGTGATAGCTGTTAAATTATATTTATTTCTGAAAATCAGGCATATATTCCTAACTTTCCCTTGCCTTATGTTATTTAAAGAAAACATATTTCACCAAAAATGAAGTACAAATGGCTAACAAACACATGAAAAAATGCTCACGATCACTAGCCAACAATGCCACTTTACACCCACAATGCTAACCCAATTCAAAACAACAGAAAACAACAAATACTGGAGAGACTGTGGAGAGCTTAGATACACTGTTGGTGGACTTGTAAATACATACAACCACTGTGGAAAAAAATACAATGGTACTTAAAGCAACTGGGAATTGGAATCCCATATGATCCAGCAATACCACTATTAGGCAAATAGCTTAAAGAAAAAAGAGACACAATAGGAGTAGATGTGAGCTCTCCCATGTTCATAGCAGCACAGTTCACAATGGCAAGAAACTGGAAGCAGCCCAAATGCCCAACAGTGGAAGAGTGCATAAAGAAACCATGGTACATTCACACAGTAGAATACTATGCATCCCTAAAAAACAGTGACAAAAGCATGACGTGGAAAGACCTGGAAATCATTATGCTGAGTGAAGTACGTAAATCACAAAAGGACAGCTATTAAATGAGTCCACTACTATAAGGAAAACATATGTATACATTTTACAAACGTTTTCATTATTTTAAGTGAACAGCGAACTACATTTTTTTGTATATTTGAAATCCAAGCCTTTAAACAAAATAATGCTTCCTTGCTTGTGTTCCTTTTACTTTCTGTACTTCTGCATGAAAAGTTTGTCTATGTTATCATGTAAAGATCTAGAAATTTATTATAATAAAGAGATTTTTAATATCTTAGACCTTGTTAGTACACAAGCAGCCCTGATGGTGGTGTGGGTTAAGCACTGGGCTGCTAACCACAAAGCTGGTGGTTCAAACCCACCAGATGTTCTGCAGGAAAAAGGATGTCTGCTCCTGTGAAGATTTTAAGTCTCAGAACCTGTACAAGGAGCTCTGCTCTGCCCTATAGGGTTGCTATGAGACAGGAATCGACTTAATAATGAGTTTGGGGGTTTTGAACACGTACCACGTATGATTTGTGTTCTTAAGAACCCATCCATGGCGCGTCGGTCACGCTTAGGGTGGAAGCAGTGGTGATCTGCTTATATATGTGTAATCCATCAGGAGAAAGATGGGGCTTTCTACTCAAATAAAGATTTCCAGTCTAAGAAAGCCACAGGGGCGGTTCTACCCTGTCCTGTAGGGTCATGTGAGTCAGAATGGACTCAGCAGTAAATGTGATCAACACTGTTTATTTATGCATGTAATACATAGATTTCCAGCCACACCCTCCCTCCAAAATATTTTTGTAAGCATTCTGCACTAATTTTTGTAAATTAGCATGCAGCATTTAGGAAACTATCTTGGAGAGAGTGCATGGTTGGTAAAAACTATACAATGCATTATTTGCATCAATATACAGTACTCCCACCATGGGTGCTATCAGCGTACCAGCACATCACAGCCCACTGGATGGAGTAGAGATGCCCAGTAGCCCAGCAACATGTAGCCCTTTCCACACACAGATCACGGACATTCATAATCTCCAGAGCACACTGTTAATGTTAACTGTAATCAGGTTGATTCCAACTCAGAGTGACTCTCTGTACACAACAGAACACAACACTGTCTGGTCCTGTACCGACCTCACAATTGTTACTGTGTTTGAGCCCATTGTTACAGCCACTGTATCAATCCATTTGAGAGTCTTCCTCTTGTGTCAGTGACCCTAACTTGACTGCACATGATGTCCTTTTCCAGGAGCTGTCCCCTGGCTACATGTCTACCTACATGAGACCAAATCTCTCCATCCTTACTTTAAGGAGCCTTCTGGCGTTACTCCTTCTAAGATTTGTTTGTTCTTCTGGCAGTCCATAGCAGTTTCAACATATTTGCCAACACCGTTTTCAACCGTATTAGTTTTTCTGCGGTCTTATTCATCATCCAACTTTCACAGACACATGAGGTGATGGCAATACCAAGACTTGAGTCAGGTTCACCTTTGTCCTCAAAGTGGCATCTCTGATTTGTTAACACATTAAAGAAATTGCCAGGATTGGTCCAATGCAGTACTTCATTTGAGGTCACTACTGCTGCTCTTTTCCATGAGCTTTGATTATGAATTCAAATAAAATGAATCTATGACGACTTCAATCTTTTCTGTTTATCATGATGTTGTCTTTTAGTCTGTGTGATAGTTACATAATCTGTTGTCAATTTGAGACTTGAGAGTGAAGGGGTGGAGTTTAGACTGTCAATCAGCTTGAAGCTTGATGACCTCATTTGGAGGCGGGACAGATATAAATAGCTCACTGGAGCCAGACACAGACATACTCCCTGCAACACATTGACAAGACACATGGAGCTGCGCTAGAACCCTGGAGCTGAAGGAGCCATGTGGAAACCCACGCCAGCGCTAAGATGCTTCCACTGCCACTGGATCCACAAGACTTTTTACCCACTGGTCTATGATCTTTCAGCATTTGGCATCATTGCATGTGTTTCGTGAGTCTGAAGAGGAATTTATAGATAGATATTGGACATATGGGCTAATATCAGACTTATGGACTGCATCTGGACTGGGCTGGGATGTTTTCTCAAGATTCAGTTGCTCTTGTATATAAAGTTCTAATACACATATGAGTGTCTATTAATTAATGTCTGTGGTCTACCAAAACTAACACAGTCTAATTCTGAGGGTTTTTATTTTCTTTACATTTAGTTACGATCCATATTCAAGGCTACAGTCCTTACTTTTTATCAAAAACTCCAAGTTCTCCTTATTTTCAGCAAGCAAAGTTGTGTGATCTTTATATCACAGGTTATTAATAAGAATTCCTTCAATCCTGATGCCTCATTCTTCATATAGTCCAGCTCCTCAGATTATATGTTCAGCATACAGAATAAGTATGGTGAGAGTATGCTACCCTGATATATACCTTTCGTATTTGAAATCATGTAGTATTTCCTTGTTCTACTTAAATAACTGTCCCTTGGTCCGTGTACAGGTTCCACATGAGCACAAGTTAGTCTTCTGGAATTTCTGTTCCTCTTGATTTTATCCATAGTCTGTTTTAATCCACAGTCAAAACCTGTGTGTAATCAATAAAACATAGTAGACATCTTTCCGGTATCCTTTCATTTTAGCCATGGTCCACTTGACATCATCAATGATATTCCTCATGCCATATCCTTTTCTGAATTCAGCTTGAATATCTGTTAGCATACTCTCAATGTATCCATTTTTGAATGATCTTCAGCAAAATTTTATTTGCGTGTAATATTAATAGCTTTGTTTCATAATTTCCACATTCTGTTCGACCACCTTTCTTTGGAATGGGCATAAATATAGATCTCTTCCAGTCACTTGGCCAAGTAGCTGCCTTCCAGATTTCTTAGCATAGACGAGTGAGTGCTTCCCTCCCTTCATCAGCTTGCTGAAACACTTCAATTGGCATTCCTTTGATTCCTAGAGCCTTGTTTTCATTAATGCTTCCAGTGTAATTTGGACTTCTTCCTTCAGGACAGTCAGCCCTTGATCATGTGCTGCTTCTTGAAATGGTTTCACATTGACCAGTCCTTTGGGCACAGTAATTCTGTATTCTTTCTCCTGTCTTCTCATGCCTCCAGCATCATTGAATATTTTGCTCACGGAGTTCTTCAGCACTTTAACTTGAAGCTTGATTTTTTTCCCCATTATTTCAGCCTGAGAGGATATGCTGGACATATTCTTGTGTTTTACTTTTCTAACTCTTAAGCCTTTGTACATTTCATTATAATGCTTTGTCTTCTGGTGCTGTCCTTTTAAGTTTTCTGTTCAGCTCTTTTACTTCATCATTTCTTTCGTTTGCTTTAGCTATTCTAAGAGAAAGTTTCAGGTGTCTTCTGACATCCACTTTTGTTTCTTCTTTCTTTCCTCTCTTTTTAGTGACCTTTTGCTCTTTGTCTGATGTTCCTGATGTCACCCCACAGCCCATCGGGTCTTCAGTCACCTGTATTCAGTGCATCAGGTCTGTTGCACTTCGTATGTTCGCTAAATTCATGTCATACTCAAGGTTGCACTTGTGCTTTTGTGGACTTATTTTAATCCTCTTTAGCTGCGATCTGAACTTGCATATGAGCAGTTGTGGCCTGTTTCCACACTCAGTGGTTGGACTTGTTTGAGCAGATGATATTGAGCTTCTCCAAAGATAAAATTAATTTTCTTCCTGTATATTCTAAC